GGACGGACGGACGGACGGACGGACGGACGGACGGACGGACGGATGGACGCACGCACGCACGCACGATCATGCGATTCTACAAGCTGCATCTGACTACGTCAGATGAGCTAAAAACAAACAAATTCTCTACAGAACACCATCTTGTACACATCTACCTACACCTACACCTACACCCCTCTCTTGCTACCTCGTAGCGACGTCCCAGTAATTAAGGTAATTAAGCTAATCACCTGGCTTTCTCGCTCTGCTCAGTGCGATGTACGTTGGACAGTGCACCGAGGCAGAATCTGTCTAAGCTGGATGGATCGACGTAACCATCAACGGTCACCGACGGAATACTGGATGGAACTTTGAACGTCTCGCCAACCTGAGAGATTGCCAGCGAAATAAAAATAAATAAGTTGGTGACACTAAATTGAAAATAGAAAAATATATTTCTACCTTTCTCTCACATCTCTATTCCATTACTCGTACTATCTTTCTCTTTCCCCATTCCACTTTACCTCCCCTTTTCCCTCTCATGCGACTTCTCCCTCCCTCTCTCTCAAGCGCTCTTTGTCTCCCGCCATCTTTCCTCATCTCCCTCTACTTTCCCCTCTTCCATTCTCTCTCTCCCTCTACCTCTCTCCCTCCTTCTTTCTTTTCCTGAATCCCTCCTCTCCCTCCCTCCCTCTCTCCCTCTACCTCTCCTGCCCTCTCTCTCAATCTCTCCCTCCTCCCTCTAACTCTTTCCCACCTTCTCCCTCTACCTCTCTCCCTCCTCCCTCTACCTATCTCCATCCTTCTCCCTCTACCTACACCTTCCTTCTCCCCCCACCCACTCTCTCTCTCTCCCCACTGTCTCTCTCTCCCTCCCTCCCCACTGTCTCTCGCTCTCCCTCCCTCCCCACTGTCTCTCTCTTCCTCCCTCCCCACTGTCTCTCTCTCCCACCCTCCCCACTGTCTCTCTCTCCCACCCTCCCCACTGTCTCTCTCTTCCTCCCTCCCCACTCTCTCTCTCTCCATGCGAACCTGTACGTCCAGCTCAAAGTAAGCAATGGTGCACCAGTACTCAGGCCGGCTGGGATGCGCCGAAACCGATCGCTGCAGATTCATGTCGTGGTGCAGCTGATTCTCGTTCTGCTGCCCTGTAACGATGTAGATGAGGATTCACAGCTGGCATTACTCTACGTATAACGCTCTCACCACTGCCTTCACCGCTCTGTGCGATAGATATACAGGAAGGAGGATAGATTGAGAAGGACGCAGGCACGTATTCAAGTTGACAGATCATAGGCCGGAAGGCAGGCAGGAAAATAGGTGGTCAGGTAGGTAGGTTTGTAGGCAACAACTCAAGCAGACTGGTAGGCAGGCAACCAAGCAGGTTACTACATGGGCAGATAAATAGATAAAGCCATATAGATATAGTGCACACACACGTGTATGAATGCACACGCATGCACATACATACACACGCACGCACGCACGCACGCACGCACGCACACACACACACGTGTATGCATGCACATACACACACGCATGCAAGCACGCACGCACGCACGCACACACACACACAAGCGCGCTCAGTCCCTTCCCAACTGCACTTACAGTAATAGGGTTGGGTTGATCGAACACTCTGCGTGTAGGAGGGAGTACTGCTCCCTGACGATGGCCACATGGGTCCAGACGACGCTGAAAAACGAGAGCAAATGGCAAATACATACAAGCTCCTGCACTGAGAGCAGGTACCATTAGTGTGAGTTTTAAAGGATTTATTTCAAAACCATTGTTTAAAAATGCACAATCTGGGAAAAAATATAGCTAATTGTCTAATAATAGTCTAAATCTAATTTATTAATTTAAGAGGAGAAGGATTATTGCAATATCTTATGAACAACTTTTAGATTCATATCAGTTATAATATGGATAAATATTTGTCCTAATATAAAAATCGTTCGGTTAAATAACAGTTAGGTATAAATATAATTGCACTTTTGTGATTAGCCCTCGGTCTGTAATGTGTAACGTGCAACGTCTGTAACGTCGCTAACGTCTGTAACGTGCAAAATAAATCAGAAAGCGCACGTTTGTCAGGGTGGCAGCACAATCGCAGGGTGTCACGTTAGCGGCCAAAAATTAAGATTTCGAAAAAACTCATTGTTGTTTTATGACAAATGTTTATGACGAGTGCATGATGATAGAAATTTGTAGGTATATACTATTATTTATGCACTTACTATCATAATATACCCTAAAATTCTAGGTAATTGTATCCCTTTAAAATTCAGAGAGTTAGGGAGTTTGCATTTTTACATCGTTCTGCTGGTGTATTTTATCAATTATATTTTTGCAGACAAAGGCTAACTTTTATTTATTCTTCCTTATTCTTCTTCAACTAATGATGGCAATGATGATAATAATAATAATATAAAATTAGATGGATGCCTGCATAGACTTCACACCCAGTAACTAGTACATGTGCGTATACTTATACATAGACAGAGCATGCCTATAAGTATGACTTATACTTACTTATTCTTACTACCTATGCTTGCTCGTGTTTTTTCACTAAGCTTACTTATGCTTATTACTCACTCTTGCTTAGCCCTTTTCATTATCATTACTTATGCTTACCCATGCACATTATTTATACCTACTTGTGCTTTGTTACGCTTCAATATTCATGCTTACTTACGCGTATTACTTATGCTTACTTATGCTTGCCATGTCGCACTGCTGCTGTGGCTGTGATGGCGGCGGCTGCGGTGGCTGTGCAGGCGGCGGTGGTGGCTGCTGCGAGGACTGCGCAGGCTGGACCGCAGGGGGTGCCGGCGGCGGTGGTGCCGGCTGCTGCTGCTGCTGCGGGGCCGGCAGTGGCTTCGGGGGCTGCATGATGCCACCGAAGCTTTCGACAGGCTGGAAGTGCGGCGACAGGGGCGACAGCGGCGACATGATGCTAGACTGACCTGCAACGACGCAAGAAAACCGCAAGACGATGAGAATGATGACGAAGATGACTCGCAAGACAGATTATAAGAAGTTAGATTCGTTAGGGTAAAGGTGCAGTAGATGCGCAGCCCAGCATTGCCACCAGTTTTGAAACATCAGAAAACATTACGAAAAGGCCACGGGACGCGAAGAAGATTCGTTAAGTGGGAAAAGCGTACGGTACTCATTCTATGCGACGCAGCCGCCAGTGTGATCTTAACGAAGATGCGTTACTGTAACTGTAAGGGAGAGCTAAGATTTCAAGGATCGTTACTGAAACCGTACGGTGCTGGTACGATGCAATACGGTCACCGCAGTTTTATGATCGACTTACATCGATTAACAATGCACACTAATACGGAAACCGCGTTCCGACTGACCTAGAAGAACAGCAACACGTGCACATCAAATAAAACGCACGGCCGTAAACGTTCGTAGAGCATGCACCGCTGTCTGCATAGCACCCACCTCCCCCCAAAAAAACGTTTGTAAATGGCCCTGCGAGATGCGATTACAGTGCGACACTCGCGCACGCGTGTAGGCACTACGCAAACCTCAACCCCAAAACCCGACATCCGCCAAACACTCACTGAAGCTGGAAGGACTCTGGGGTCCGGGTGTGACCTGGGGAGGAAGGGTGAAGCCATCCGGTCGCGGACCAATCGCCTGCAAGGAAAGAAACAATGGGCTGCTGATGAGACAATGGTTCCGAGAACCGACACGAGACTGACGGCACGCAGCAACACAAGAACGTCTCTCGAAGTCGGCGTTGCCCGATTAAGAACGTCCGCCGATTCATATTCAGGATATTATTTATTTACTCGCTTCAGGATAAATTATTCATTACGAAATAGATGGCATATTTCGCGTTATTTGAGTTTTAACGTGGCTGCGAGTGAGCAGTTTCAAGCAGGGGAGCGTCAATGATAACATCAGGGTTCTTCCCAGGAATTTCAGAAGGCACGTCTTTCATGGACAGCTGGGGGAGGGTCCAGGAGGACATTGTTCCTATTGGAGTCAATTACAAGTGTCATAAGCGGCATTAATACACACGTAAACACAGGATAGGAGATGTACGTCATCAAGCTGTTAAAACAGCACGACTGTATTAGGACTGTCAATAGTCAACACAGCTGGAAATTAAGGCACGTCGATAAGGCAATTAAAGTATTTCAGATGATTTAAAAGACGTTGCAAATTAGCTTCAGCTTCGAAGGAATGTTCGAACCGAAATACGTTAAACACCTGGGAAGAACCCTGAACATTGTAAATAGTCGTTGTTATCGTCAAGTCTAGGATGTCATATCTTTTGCACGTCAGGTACGACTTCCTACACTCGTGACAGCCTTAACACTTCACGACGTTTCTTTCCACGAGCCCCCGACCCACTGCAAATACCGCAAACAAGCGCAACGACGCCGAAAGATGGGTGAAATTCCTGCGAGCCAGTGAAACACAACCGCAGCGCGAACTACGTGGGCCAAACGTGCTAAAACTACGTGCTAAGCAATAAGAACACTAACGTCTGGCTGCGGGGTGGGCGCGTTGATGTGGTGACCCTGTGACCCTGCTGCAGATGGGGTAGGCTGGTGAACCGGTCCCACGCCTGACTGGGAGTGTGAGACAACCGTCAGAGGCCCTGCAAAACAAGACACAACGAACACTAATGAAATACTCATGCAACAACAACAATAACATCAACGCAGTATGAACGCAGCGTACTTCAAAGCAAGCGACGAACCTTCGAGTCTCTCGTATGACATTCAAATACCTGCACGACGTCATTACGATAATATAATATGACAGAGATAGAAGAAATGACGTATTTCTCTCGCACATGCGACAAAGTCTACGATTATATATAGTATAATATAATACAACATGATATAGTGATGGCAGAAACAACTCATTTCCTACACATGCACGAAAAAAACAAACAAAAAATCCCCAATCCTCTACGACGTAATATAGTAATATAATGTGACGTGACCACAGGGACGAGCCCCGCACCCCGCGCCAGCGCGAACACGCACGCGTAGATGGCGCAACCTCACGTGAGAACGGCGGCGTACCTGGTGACAGCATCGGGCCGGGTGGCGACGAGATCGGGAAGTGCTCGATACTCGACAAACCCGCCTGCTGCTGCTGCTGCTGCTGCTGCTGTGACGACGGCTGCTGCTGCTGCGGCGGCGGCGGCTGCTGCAGAGGAGGAGGAGGAGGATGCTGCTGCTGCTGCGGAGGATGCTGCACGGTGGAGGTGGACGTCGATGGCCCAGCGGCGTCCATCATCATTCCGAGCGGACCCGCCTGCGAGCCGTCGACCGTGACGCACTCGTGCGAAAACTCATCCTTGACGAGACGCTGCGGCGGCGCTGCGGACACAACACGACAGACGATCATCGGACGGTCGCCACGACGATGAGATACCGGGGGGAGAGAGAGAGGGAGAGAGGGAGAGAGAGAGAGAGAGAGAGAGAGAGAGAGAGGGAGAGAGAGAAAGGGGGGGGGGGGGGGGGAGGGAGGGAGGGGGCATAAACAATATTGGTCTTAACGTTCGCGTTATCTTTTTCTCGTAGACTGGACCTCTGTATACATTGCCTATGATAAAAACTTTCTTTCAACAGTCTATGAGAAAAAGTTTATGTTAAGATTAATTTTAATGTTAAGAATAACTGTTACTGACAACGGGTCCCACCGGCCCAGCTTACTCAGTCACGATAAGTACGCGAACAAAGAAAAGGATCAGAATGGCATCGGAATAAAATGAAGTCGGAATGGAATATGCGGTGAAGCTAGACAGGGCGTGAAATTTGTCTCCGTCACACAGGGTAGGTCTACGGGACTGGTAAGATCATCGACAATCATCTGTGAGAAAACAGAAAACCGCGACAAAGAAACATGCCGACGCACTCAATTCGGCGTATTCTACTTTCAATCTGTTCGATTGTATGTTTGATTCAGCCAGTCCTGCCCTCAGTAAGTTCCACCTGGTGCCCGACAGCATGACCACAGCAGTTTCCACAGTTCCTTGGCGCTCTTACATTCGCAACGGAGAGCAGTTCGACCCACCCCCACCCACCTTGCCCCATCACCACCCCATCCCCATGCCTCTTCCACCCCACCTCACCCCATTCCCACCCCACCTACCTCACCTCACTCCATCCAACCTCACCCCACTTCACCCCATCCCCACACCTTCTCCATTCCCACCACAGCCCACCTCACCCCATCCCCATCTCACCCCACGCCTACCTCACCCCACCTCACCTCACCCCATCCATCCCCACCACCCCACCCCACCTCACCCCATTCCCACCCCCACACCTACCCCATCCCCACCCCACCCCCCTGCCTACCCCACGCCCGGCTAACCAGAACGATTAGTAGTACATCAACGGTCACCGCATCTCGCGTATCGTGGATCGTGGAGACAGACTCACACGTGTGCTGCAGCGTGAGACCGGACAGGTCGATGCCGGGCGAGACGACGCGCTCGTAGTGGTACGGATTCACGCAGACGCTATCGCACTTCAGGTCGAACGCGTACTGGCAGAACTTGACGTGCTTCAGCTCGTTCTTGTGCAGGTCGGGCCAGCGCCACAGCCGCGCGTACACGACGTGCGGAAAGCCCTTCCTGCCGGCCACCTGACACGTAAACGCAAAAACATCCGTAGATTTCTCCATCTACCTGTGACAGTGGCGATTGCAATGGCAATTGCAGTGGTGATTGCAGTGGCGATAGCAGTGGTGATTGGTAAACGAAAAAAAAATTGTAGATTTCTCTATTTATCTGTGGCAGTGGCAATTGCGCACAGCGTTGGTATCTCCTCGTCTAGTTGTGGTTATCGGTTAATATCGACGTGTGAACAAATCGAAAGAAATGTAATCGGCTATGTAGAACAGTACACAATCTATTATCTGAAACCCTTGGGACCAGACACGTTTCGCAATTCGGAATTTTTCGGATTTCGGAATGGCAGTACAGGACAGATATACAGGGTGCAAAATTAACGCGAGTCCGGAGTCAAATACTCCGATTTAATGTCGGATCCCCTAATTTGACATATGCAGAAGTCCGTGTGATTCGCTGAAAATTCTGCTATATACTAGCTAGTTCGTTCCAGAGCACAGCCTCGCGGTATTACTGTATTTTTTCAGCAAATGTCCAAAGAAAATTTGGCAGACGTGCAACCACATGAATCTTCAGAATAAGCACATGCGTTATTGTTAACCACTTTAGTTTTGAACTTCAGACTGCGGACTCCCTCATTTTGCTGCGAACTCCCTCGTTTTTAGAGCCGTTGGACTCCCTTGTTCAGAAGTTAATTTCTACCCCTGGATATACGTACCGTATATCATGCAACTAGCCAGTACTAAAACCCAAGTTTTCAAGAGGCCAAGTGCTGTACCGATACAGTACAATATATATGAGTAATGACAAACACATTAATATCTCTGCAGTGAACCTTGTGCAGCCAAACGCGAGCTTTGGTGTGCAGACGACCTCCACGAAAAAACTTTCGGTTTTCAGAATTTCGGATAATAGATTGTGTACTGTATATATCGCTTTTTCGTTTTTTCTACAACTAATATTACCACTGACTGCTGCTGTTGTTGCTGCTGCTCCTGCTACTGCTGCTGCTGCTGCTGCTCCTACTACTATTACTGCACCTGTTATTGATGTTGTTGATACGGCTGCTGCTGCTGCTTCTACAGCTGCTACTGCTGCTACTGATACTGATGCTACTGATACTGCTGCTGCTGCTATTGCTGCTGTTGTTGCTAATGCTGCTGCTGCTACTGTTCTTACTGCTGCTGCTACATCCACTGCTTCTACCACTAACTCCGAATAGCGCCGTCGGCTCTCCCGCCGCTGCCCACTCACCTGCAAGCGTCCATCTAGCGTGCGCTGGATCGTCACGCACTTGCTCGGGTGCTGGCCGTTGGTCGTGATCGCCGTGATGAGGCTGTCCAGCTCGTCACGCTTCTCCTTCAGCTTCTTCACGAGGCTCTCGATGGCGCGCTTCGCGAAACTCTCCGACTCGCCGCCCTGCAAAGATACCAGCGAGGAGCATGAATGCGAGGAGCATGAATGCGAGGAGCATGAATGCGAGGAGCATAGATGCCAGCAAGGAGCATGAATGAGAGGAGCATAGATGCCAACGAGGAGCATAGATGCAAGTGAGGAGCATGAATGAGAGGAACATGGATGAGAGGAGCATAGATGCCAGCAAGGAGCATAGATGCAAGCGAGGAGCATGAATAAGAGGAGCATAGATGCAAGTGAGGAGCATGAATGAGAGCATGGATGAGAGGAGCATAGATGCCAGCAAGGAGCATAGATGCAAGCGAGGAGTATGAATGAGAGGAGCATAGATGCAAGCGCTTGCATCTATGCTCCTAAAGGAGCATGGATGAGAGGAGCATAGATGCCAGCGAGGAGCGTGAGTGAATGAGAGGAGCATAGATGCAAGCGAGGAGTATGAATGAGAGGAGCATAGATGCAAGCGAGGAGCATGAATGAGAGGAGCATAGATGCCAGCAAGGAGCATGGATGCAAGCGAGGAGCATGAATGAGAGGAGCATAGATGCCAGCAAGGAGCATGGATGAGAGGAGCATAGATGCCAGCGAGGAGCATAAACATAAACAAGGAGCACAAACAGTAATAAAGAATGTAAACACAAACAAAGAGCACAAATGCACAAAAGTGTAAACACAAACATGGGTCATGAATGCAAACCAGGATCATAAAACCAGGAATGCGCGCAAAAACAAGAAGCATAAACACAAACAGAGAAAGCAAACAGAAAACAAGGAACGTAAACATAAAAACAAGGAGCGTAACTCCAACAAAACAAGGAGCGTACCCTACATTTAACCCTGCCGGCTGACGCGTCGCAATCGGGACCCCGCCCCCTCCCCCAATGACGGATGGCAGTTCAGCCCGTCGTTACATGTCCTACCTGGCGGTGACACATCAGCGAATGCACGATGCTCATGTTGTTACATGT